GGGGATGCGGGGATGCGGGGATGCGGGCTCCTGGCCCCGGGGCTCGTTGTTGCCCTCCGTGGGGGGGCTACAGCTCGCTCCTGGCCCGGAGGAGATGATGAGCTCCCCCCCGAGCCGTTTTGGGGGGGGGTAAGGGAGGGCTGTTCGGGGTGAAGGGGCGGCGGAGCCGGGTTTCCCCCTGTTTCTCCAACGCCGGGGTGTAAACCCCCGCCAGCCTTTGCCAGGGTTATTAGGGCTGTGAGCCCAAAAACTTGCCCTTCTCCGCTGCCAAGGTGGGTTGGGAGCCGCTGAGAGATGGAGGAAGGCTTCCCTTGCACAAGGGTGTCCCCGGCTCCCTCCTCATCCTCAGTGAAGGGCTAAACTTGCCAGGAGGTGCCTTCCTCCCGGCCCTGGCAAGGAGGCTGGATGGATTCAACGCTACCCAACAATTTCCTAACCCATCTCCTCCCCCAGCTGCTAGGGGTACAACTGCTGTCGGGTGGAGGGACTCAGGTTCGGTCTCTCAGGTTTGAGGGGACAGAAAATAACCATATGACAGGCCAAAAAAAAAAAAGAAAAAAAAAGGAAAAGGGATCGATGTGCAGGAGAAAAGGGCCGGTGATGGATGTAATCGAGTAACAAACCGCTCACACGCCCGCACCTTCCAACCCGACAGACATCAGATTTTCACACTTTGGCCACGCACCGCACTCTCAGTCACCCCCTAAAAACTAATTACGCTGTTTTAGCCTAACGTATATACAGATGCCATCACTCTGCCCACAGAAATAAAGCCTCTAGAAACAGGGTAACAGGGGTGTTTTCAAAGGGCGGGTACGTAGGCACGAAACACCTCACCGACAGAGTAGGAATACATGGAATTTTGCACAGAATCCCAAATATACGGTGCTTCCCGCTTTATAAATGTATATAGGGTATATGTAAATACGCCGTAGGCTTTTGTAGTGTCTGCGTAGATAAAAATGCACAAGTCAGTATATTGGCCTTTTTGATATATAATAAGTTTAGCCAGTTTTTTTTTTTTAAAAAAAAAAACAAACACAAACCCAGGTGTATTTATAGCAAGGGAAGCAAAAAATAAATAGCGGGGAAACCGCAGTGGTATTTTTTATCTTGCGCTTTTCATGGCAGATTTATCAAAATATGTCTAATAACTCAGGCTGTGTATTTCTAAATCTGGCATCCTATATAAATGGGTTTTAATATTTTGCAAATGATATGGAATTATCCCAAATCATCTTGAAAACAGCAGGTAGAATTAGCTAGTGGAATGTACCTTGGCTAAGAAAGATTCCCTCAGACACACTGTCTCTGTAATATACTGCTAGGCTACCCTAGGAAATTATCCCTGTGTGTGCCATCTGTATTAAAATGGTTATTAAGTTATGAACAGGGTAACATAATACTGATCGGCTAATTATACACCCTCCTAAAAAACCTCCAGGTCTCCGTTACTCTCTCAGTCAGGTATTGAAATAATAACAGTTTGACATTCAGACACCTTACAAAGGCAGCTGTGGAAGGACAGCCAGCTGTCCCTGGGAGGAATTAAACTGGTGGTACTGGAGGTACCGGAGGAATGGCTTTGGGGTGGGTGGGTGGGCGTTTTTGGAGGAAACGGCATCCACAGACCCCCCCCACACGTGTATTTTTTGGCTAGCTCGGAGGCCGTTAGCATCCAAATGTCACTGAAGTCCCAGCCTCATGCCTGCCGGCCCCACCGGGTTGTGATGTCCCAGGCAGGAGGTTGAGCACCAGGTTTTGCTCCCAGTTGACGGGGGGGCTCCGGGGGGGGAGTTTGTACCTCAGTTTCCCCACCCTGGCAAAGACCGATCCTTCTCAGAAGGAGGTGGGAAGCGATGTCAGTTGGATTCTGCTTCTAAAATGCTTTGAGAATGACAAGTGCTTCGTAGCTGCTAAGTATTATTGCATGACAGAGGCTCAGCTGTGACCCCCCCGTGTTTGATTCCCCCCGCGATGGCATTTGAGCGTGTGGCCACCAAGGCACAAGAGCATTTTGGCTTCACCTGGTTAAGTCTTTCTCCGTCGCTGTTAAAAATTCAGGCCCTGCTTCCCGCTGTTCACCCTTGCGTGGGGCTCCCTAAAACTCCCATCCGTAGGGAAGCGAGCCCATCGTGTCACAGGTCGTAACATTTGCAAGAACAGGACGGCAAAATGGGGGAAAACTGCAGCAGAATGGGAAATAGTGAGTGTATAAGGGCCCGATCCTGGTGGCGCAGAGACTAGCACGAGCTTCGGCACTCCCGTGACTTTTGTGACTCACAAAACTCACAAAACACAAAGAGAGGTCTATGTTCACCATTTAAATATCCGTTTTTCTCCCTCCCGTTATAAAAAAAAAACACCCAGAATTGGGTAAATCTTCTGTAACAGCACATCCCTTACCCGCCGTACGAGCGCAGATTGGAGTTAATCGAACCCTCCGACTCTCTGAGCAGCTTCACATAGATGACAATTTTTAAAACCAACCTAGAAATAATCTGTCTTTGTATTTTCACAAAATGTAGGGTTTCCAAAGCAAAAACCGCATTGGCCCAACGTCCAGAACTGTTAGAGCTACATCCATAAGCAGTTCAACATCTTGAGACTATAAGCAAGGCATTTACAGAAATAGAAGTTATCTGTGTCCCTAGATAGACTGTGAATACTGCACTTCAAAACAGAGATCACCTTGGAATGGAAAAAACCTAATTTTGGTTATTACAAGATTTTCTGAAAATGTATTAATTACATTTTATTTTCCTTCTTTCTGGGGATTAGTATAAATTAACATAGGCTTTCGGGTGAGAGACCACAAAACTGCGCAGTTTCAGTTCCGTTTTTTAAGTCTCCCTAAAACATTTTTAAAATCTGTTTTCCATTAATTATTTTTTTGTGATACGCCAAAGATACGTGCCTCCATTGCACCGACCTGTCCTGTCTGTGTTGCACTGAGGATATCGGGACGCGTTTGGGACGAACTTCTAATTCGGTCCTGAGATTTATCAGAAACTTGTTCATATCGAGCTCATGCAGATAAAGCCTAGATAGAAACTCTGCTGAAAAACATGACTCAACCACCCCGTCGAGAGTCAGGAAAAAAATTAAGTCTTTTGCTAAGGGGTAGTTTTGCTTTAATTATGGCAAAAAAAAGTCTAGAGAGTAGTCAATAAGCGAAGTGCGCCAGAACGGGCAGGATCAAGACAGAGAAGTTCTCTCTGTGCTGGGAGCTTGCCTGTTCCCGTGTCATACAGCAGGCACTGTGCAGCACAAACCTAGTGTGTATGTGCAGATATATATATACACACACATCTAGATGTATATACACGCATATATGTAAACCCACACATATACACAGTGCGTATCATTGAGAAGCAGGCAAGTGATGGAAGCTCTCAATTCCTTAGTAAGCAATTCCTGCTTACTTTAAATCCCTTGAGCCCCAACTTTTCCATCTATGGTGTGGCTCTACACGAGTTCTCCTTTGGTGGCTTTGGGTTAGAATATTTTGGGTGGATCCCGGCAGCGCCGAAAGCCTCGCGGCGGCCGCCTCCTCACTCTGAGCTGGGCAGCAAGACGTTAATGGGAATTTTTGCTTTGTTTTTTGGTACGTACAGTTAGCCTAAGAACACAGGTTCCACCAGATAATGATCACCCAGAAAACCCTTTTCAATAAGAGAATGTACTTTAGTGGGAACAGGACGGAGCACACCACGGACACACGCTCACGGTTCCGCAGTGAGTGATAAAATGGACATGGCAGTTTAATTATTATTATTTCCTGCTTCTCTTAAATTCAGGAATTCCTTAAGAGTCTAGAAAGGCAAAGCAGGACACATCCCCACCTAATTTGTCCCTCTGTCCCAGCTCATTTGGGGCTGGGTTCAGTACTAGGGACTCCCAGTTAGTCCTTCTCCAAGGAATGCTGAAGCCAAAGCATTACGGGGTTCGGTCAGCCTCCCGGATACACTCTGGGTTTCTGAGAGCAGCCCCCCTAACTAATACCCCACGGCAGAGAACAGAGTTTAGTGGATATATAACCTCAGTCAAACCATTAGATATTTTTTTCAGTCATCACTTAGGTATTGTGTATTCATTAATTTCTAGCGTTAAGCGCTTGGGTTGGGGAGATGTTTCCCGTTTCACTATTTAACAATTGACTCATGATCCCTAGTTAAAGTCTCCAATAATGATGTGCTTTTTCAAGATGCATATGGAAAGACACAAAGGTTGACTTGGGTTGTAACGACCAGTGAAACAGACTTGTACATTGAAATATTATGGAGCGTGTGGGTGATTTCAGCGGCCGTGGGCAGGGCTGGAGTTTAGAGCAAAGGACGGCGCATTAGGAGATAAGAGTTCTCTTACCAGTTCTGCTGTTAACTTTCTGGTTGATCTTGGGCAGGTCACCCGCACTCCTTACGTGGCTGCTTTGTCATATGTAAAATGAAAATAGCAGTATTTAGCTACCGCTGTAAAACTCTGTGTGATCCTTCACTAAAAACACCCCCGGAGTTCAACGCGGTAACGGGAAAAGGTTCAAAACTTGGAGCTGGGTTGTTTTCCGTCAGAGGAGGCTTTAGCCCGGGTGAGGGAGATAGAATTGAGCAGAATCTCGATGGAGGTGAAGGCAACGTTTGGAGACAAACAGTGGAGTCTGGCAAAAGGCAGTGTTAGGGCAGGGGCTGTGTCCCACGGGGAAGAAATCACTGTTCTGCAAACCGAGAGTCCTGAGTCACTCTCGCTGGCCTCGCTGAGTCCCCCCCAAAGGACACCCCACCCAAAGCCACCAGAAAATCCCCCCCTCTCTTTCCCAATGAACAAACCTGGAATTCTTGGGGAGACGGGTCATGAGTCTAGGGAGGATTTGGAAGAGTATGGAGTATCTCTAATGGCAGCTTGTTCATAGTGACCCAAAGCACGGCCTGCAGTGAATGGCACAGTTTTAACTGGCAAACGTGTGTGTCACACAAACCTATCACCAGCAGCAGTGTTTAGTAGCCACATGGCTATTTCTCAATAGAGAGGCCAAGGATTGGACTGGCCACGTAGACTGGATTAGCCTCTGGCTGACAACGGGTTGGTGCAAAGTGGGGGTGAGGAAAACTTGTCCGATGGTACCCAACGGGGTTCACCAGGTTCTTGTAACCTGGAACTTCCCCGGGATCCAGCAGGGATCCTCTCACTAAGGTGATGCTGAATCTCAGGTTCCCACTCTGTTTCCCACATCAGGATGTGCTCTTGGGGTAGAAGACTTCTACTACCACACTTCTACCACCACTTGCTTTTGGCTGAGCAAAGAACGGAGTCGGGTCACACAGGGCTTCATTACAAGGAATATACTCCTTGAAATTCAGATTCTTTTTCCGTCAGACACAAACCTGGTATTATCTTCTTTTTATCATTGCAAATAAAGGACAGGCTCATAAAGCAGAGGTTACAGACAATGTTACCGCAGCTGAAAGAGTCCATGAATGCTCCCAGCATTTCTCTTTGTCTTATTCCTCATATCTGGCCACTAGAAGGTTGTGTGGTGGGAACTACAATAAGCCGGCTGCATTTTTTTTCTAATTTTCCTATTGCAGGGATATTAGCTCAAGAGAGGCAGTTAGCAAGTAAAATTGGTTGTGCCTGGGAAGTTTTGAGCTCCCTGTTCTGTGAACCTCGAAGCTCAGAACCGCATCGGTCTCTTTATCACCTAAAAATCCCCGCCCTTCTTTTTTTGTAGAGCCGGCCAGAAAGGTTGATTTTTGTTGGAAGTTAAACGTTTTCAGGCTTTTGCATCTAGTGAGTGATTGCTGCGTTCTGCCACAGAGGTAGCTGCATTTCAGCACTGGGTGAATGAGTCTTACAGAGCTAAACCTCATTTACCAGAATCACTATTATGTGAAAAAACTCATTTGACTTTGGGAGAAAAGAGGAGAAAATATAAGTGGCTTGGCCAAGCGATGATGAAGTGGCGAGAACAATATTGTGATCTGAAGGGCACAGTCCCTCCAACGGGAAAGGAATTATTCACGTTTAAACAAAGCAGGATAGCTGGGAATGAAGGGAGGGAAATAAGAAAGGAAATATTTAAGTGGTAGCAGAAGGTATCTCCTGATAGGGAGGTCCATTAAGTTGTGGAATTGCATCCCATAGGAATTCCTGATTTCTTGGAATATATATAAGTAGATGGCATTAATAACAAGCAAACATACAATAGAAATAATCTCGCATTGGCTAAAGAGATAGATAATGCTCCAGGAGGCCAGCTGGACCCTTTATGATATGATGACATGACGCATACAAAACAAAGTCATGTTTTCAGCAGTATATTGAATATCCCCCCAAATCCATCTCTGATCCTAAAGCCCACCCAAACAAAAGATTTCCATATTACTCGAATAAAAAGACGTAACTTCCAAACAGTCAAACAAGGCTGAGCTTCACTTAGATTAATGGGCTTCAATTAAGGCCTGTTGAAATTCAGACGGAGTCTAAGCTCACTAGTAACTATCAGCAAAATATGGAGGGATCCAACTTTTGGGGAGGGTCTCTATAAATGAAAAGGTGGAGACTTTCCAAAGCGTTGTCATTGGCCCGACACCCGTGCAGTTAACTAGAGCTTTAGGAAATCCCATCTGTGTGCAGATGCCTCCTGATGATGATTATTACTCCTGAAAGTCTCAGAAAGGTTTTGAGTTCTTCTCCCAAACAATCATTCTTTAAACTGAGAGCTAACAGGAATGAGGATTTTTCCACTGTAATCCCAATTAATCTGTTGGATCCCATACACCCACGGCCATATTTACCAGTCCCAACTGTTTAAAAATACCGAGGCAGAGCCTAAATCATGCAATTGGCATAAAAATCCCAAGTACTTGTAATACCATGTGGGTTTGTTTTCACTTGTTTTCTCTTCTCTACCTTAAATTGTTAAAGGGATTTGGATATCTGACTCCCATTAAACGACTTTAAAAACACCTTAACAATGTGGTCCTTTGAGCCTTCAGAGAGCCCTTTTCAAGCCCCCCCCCCCCATCCAAGCACTGGAAACATCCTTTATTAAATGAGAACTGAAATTCTCGTGCTATCACTTGACTGGAGGAGCTGGAAAACCCACAACAAACAGCG